GCATGCAATTGGTCTGTGAGTTTCTTGGGCCACTAAACCAGAGATGTAAAGGCTAGAAAATCTGCCTCGGGTTAATATAGAAATGCTCCAACTCATAATAATCATAAAATCAAACTGATTTAAGCTTGTACACCGGAGTGAACCGTCAAAACTGGAAACCGACCAATCCCTACTTTAAATCACCTCATAATTTATAACTACAGCAACAAACTCCAAATAAATTCAGTCCCCTTTTCTGTTTGCACAGTCCTCAAAAGCTGCAGAAAATAAATTGAACAAAGTCTCATTTTGACTTGTGAAGACCGAGAGACTTAAAACCAGGAAATGAAAGTGCACCACCCCTGGCTTCACTAATAAATGTCTCTGCACTTTCCAAAGAACCCCTTTGCTGGAGGTACAATATACAACCTGGCCATCCTAGGTCTGATGTTGCCCCATAAGCAAAAACCGTTTTGTGTAAAGTACACCAGACTGAAAGAGCATTGTGTACTTGCAAGATGCTTCACACTCTCGCTGCTAGAATATCTGCCTCAATAAATTTAAATTTATGACAAAACTTGTAACATTGAAACGGCAGTTTCACTACACTGGTTTAAAGTAGAGTTATATACCCAATGGAGCACAGAGCCGGCTGATATAAAGGTCAGAGGTCATTCATACTTGCTACAACCTTCTGTAACTACAGCAGTAGTAGCCAAATACGTATGTAGGAAATGTCTTTGTCAAATTTAGATGTACATCAGCAGTTCTTGCAAGGGGCCCCAGAACAAAGGGTGTTCAAACACAACTCCCTGACTACACATTTTTTATTATGCAGCCTTGGGGGGGGGGTGTATATGTGGAACCTAGTGTACACAAGACTGTGGACTTTTCTGGCCTTTTAACCATTAGGATCTGTCACAAGATCTTGACCAGGTGTAAGTACAACAAGCTGAAAGTAAGCAGCCCTCACAAAAAGGCTAGACATTTCAGAACATAAAAAAATGGAGATTTCTCTGTAAACAACCTGTCAATCACTTCCATTAAAAATGTTTTGTCATTTTTTTGTGAACACTTGTTTTGAGACTTCTCCAACTGTATGCTTTATTTGACAGTTCCAATCATGTAACACTGCATCTTTCAGCTGTAGATGTGGCAAGGGTATCTGTAGTTTCCCCATAGCAGTGTAATCTGTGGAGGAAACAGTAGTGTTTTTTTAATGAGAAGCCATGGTCTCCTCTTCTTCATAACAGCTCCTGTCTGTCTGTAGCACAGTGCAGCACAGCACAGCATGCTCCATTGAAATGTGGTCTGTCTATGTGGGATTGCCGGGGCCCCTTTGAAGTGCTGAGCTGTGGCTGTTTCCTTTGTGTGTAACAACGCAAAAAAATCAAACCTTAAACCAAAACACCCATAAGAATACCTGAAAGGGGTACAATATAAAGTGCCATATGTATATGATGCTTTACACATCTCTTCTTTGTTTCATCCCCTCCCCACTACCATGATTATGCATGTCTTCTGTGAAGAGCTGCACTGCGTCTGGAGAGCCCCTTGAATGGAAACTGCGAGGTACAGAGAGGCACATTAAAATCCTCTAAAGCTCTCAAACGAACAACCTAGGGACAAAACATGAATTCCATGCGGTTTCCCCCCTTGTAGTGGTGCAGCTCAGACAACCTCACATTTAGCACCGACTGCCATCTCAGACAGTGGGTCCAGTGGGATGCGTAGCTATGTGTTTATCAGAGGATGAACGTCCTCTTATAATGTGGCATGTTTTCCCCCGTTCTCTCCTCCCTCCCTCCTTTTCCTCTTACGCTGTAGTTGAAGGTGAAGCACCCGAGTTCAGAGAGCAAGACGAACAGTCGTCGCTTCAGTCACACAGCGCTCTGCTCTTTGGGAGCTCAGGGTTTTGTCCCTGTGCAGACGCTGTGCAGACGCTGTGGCACACTTACTGAAGTGAGAATGTAGGATGCTTGCATATATGGTTTAAATGATGGTAACCTACATAGTATCTGCGTTTAGCAACTCAGCTGCAGAATATCATATTGATAAGTTGGAAAACACTTTGATTATTTTCATCAGGGAAATTAAATAATGATGAAAATGATGGTTTGGGCCACTAACATGAACATAAAAAACATGACTGCTGGCATGACTCTTTTGCTACAATCTAATAAGCTTAATCTTACACCCAGTATAATCAACTAATAATGTGTTGTATCCCCTTTAGGAAAAGACATGTCTAAATTGTTCTACTGACCTCCTAAATTGCATCTGTCCCACTCGTCCCCTCAAATTGTCCCTTAAGTCTCTTTTCAGACTGATTTTCCCTTCCTTCCACTCTGCTTGACAATGTCACATATCTTTAATACGTTTTTAAATATCATCTATATCGGTGTGGTTAAAGTGGTTTTCACCCATTTGATTAGCATTTTCCTCCCACATAATGGAAGTTAGTTTAAGTAATAAAACTTCATAAAATAACAGGTCGTGCGAGTATGTTTTACAATTTCTAATTCATTGCTCATACACAGTTATAATGCAATCTAAGTTATTGCTTCTCTACCTTTCTTAT